TGTGTGTGTGTGTGTGTGTGTGTGTGTGTGTGTGTGTGTGTGTGTGTAGGATCTCTTACCAGCAGGGTGTTGGCTTCCTCCGCTCCCTATGGTAGCCCGCAGCCTTATGAACCATCCCCACCAACCAGAACTATTTCCTTTGTGCACATTTAATTAGTTCATTAAGGCCAGCTGAAAAATTAATTACACTAATCAATTAATGCCAGCTGAAGAAAGAACCACGCCCAGCCTCGCAGAATCAGCTGATTCAAAGACCAGGCTGTAGGAGGAGTGGTACAACTTGTGGGTGGAGTTAAAAGAGGCATCAGCCTAGAACAGTGACGAAGAACCTTTTTCGTGTGGGGTGCCGAAAGCGTGCGTGTGCCGGCACTCACAGTGCAATGCGTCACCCCCGTGTGTGCGCACACAACACCCCGCCTTACCTGCACTGCGCATGCACGCGCCTCCCGGGTGATTTTTCGGCTTGTTTGAGGCCGTTTTTGCCCTCTCGGAGGCTTGAGGAAAGCCTCCGCGGCCTCGAGAGGCTGAAAAATGGGCCTTCCGGAAATACCGAAAGTGCCTGTTTTCAGCCAGCGGAGGGGCCTCTGGAGCCCGGGGGAGGCTATTTTCACCCTCCCGGGGCCTCTACAGCCTTTGGAGGCCGAAAAATGGGCCCGTTTTGGCACTTGTAGAAGCTTTTAGTGGCTTCCCTCAAGTCTCCGGGAGGACAAAAACAGCCCGAAAATCAATTGGGAGGCATGCGCGGTGCAGGTAAGTTTGGCCGGGACTTGCGTGCATGCACAAATGGCTCTGCGTGGCCCCTGTGGCACACTTGTCATAGGTTCACCCTCACGGGCCTAGAATCCCTACGTAGCCAGGTTGGACTAACTCCAACCTCCTTTGATTGTCGTTGAGCTTATCTAACTCCAAGCAGGCGAAACCGTTAGCGGAGAGATTCCTGCGCATCGGCTCGAAGCAATAGATTAACTGGACTTCCACGCATGGCCTTTCGTGCCTAATGCAGGTGCGCAACCCCGTGCCATGATTTTAGGGGTGAGGTGGGGCTCAGATAACGCCAAGAGCTGAACGGGGAGTTGAAGTGACAAAGCCGGACTCACCTGGGGTTGGGGATCTGACCACAACAGGTCACACATGGGACCTGCCCAAGAGAAGACGTCGAGCGAAGAGAACAAGGAAAGCCAAAAAAAACAAACAAACAAACAACAACAACACACAAAATGAAAGATTAGTAGGAGCATTCTTGACAAGACCAAAACATTTTGCTAAACCTCCCTTGGGTTTTGCTCATTCTACCAAGAATCCAGGTCTTCACCAGCAGCCTCAACGTGCAGGTATCTTGAGATACTTCGATCTAGCTAAGCTTCTGCTAATAGGAAGAGGAGGAGGCCCAAAACACAGGAGGTCATGGATATGGACCCACAAACACCACCTGTGATAACGTATAAAGGCTTCCTCACTTCCAGAGATCATGGACACAACCATCACCCATGATGGACATGCAACATGGGACGTGAGGTCCAAAGGGGCTGGAAGGTGGTGGGCTGGGGGAACGTTGACCAAATGGGAGTCCCACCTGAGCGGGAAGCACCTTATCCAGCTAGATCCCTGAGCCTATCGTACGTCTTCTTCCCCACCAGGTCTTCTGCTCACCTGAGTCGGGAGGTTGGCGATTCCTCTCAATCTTCCTGATATCGTCTAACATGACACCATCTTCACTGAAGAGTCCACCATGCATTATCTGGTGGGGGGAGAAGGGAGAAGAGAGGTCAGAGATGGGGGGCCACCAGCCAACGTATCAGCCGGGCTTCCATCACGTGGTTGTGACGGCCACCTTGGCTTCTTCTGCCAAACCCAGGTCAGCCAGCCAACCCCACGGCCCCCTTACCAACACTTTCCCATTGATGCACTGCACCAGGGGCAACCACTCGAAGACTTCGCTGAAGAGCTCAAACATCTGAGCTGTGTACTTGGCTTTGACCTCGCCTTCGAACCCGTAGATCTGGTTCATGTTGTCCGTTTCGTGATTCCCTGAAGGAGGAGAGGAATCGGGCACAAGCAGAAGTGGGCGGCTGCTGGTTCGCAACGGTTCGACTGAACCGGTAGCTAAGATCCTGTGCAGTTCGGCGAACCAGCAAATCCCACCGCTGGCTGACCCGGCCCCTGTTCGTTTTATGGCCCATTTTGGGGTGGTTTTGGGGGCCTGAAAACTGGCCAGAAAATGGCCCCAAAATGCCTCCTCCCCCCAAAAAAACAGGCCGAAAACTGGGCAGGGGCAGGACCAGCCAGTGGTGAGATTAACCAGCTGAATCCTACCTCTGGCTTTGAGGTGAGTGGCCGGGAGGCGGGGCTGGGTGTGATGAGTGACATCTTCCACCCAGTCACATGACCAACCAGCCACGCCCACCCAGCCAGAGAACCGGCTGTTCGGTCAGGCCAGTCCCAGCACCACCACGGGGCACGAGTGGTAGAAAATGAGCCCGGAGCTGCTAGGGAGGGGCCAGCCCCCCCTCCTGCCCCTCCTTTCCCTGGGGAATCTGAGGCTGACCTCGGAGTAAGTGGAAATGGTCGGGATATAGCAGCTTGAAACCGAAGAGGGTGAGTATCACCTCCACCGAGAAGGAACCGCGGTCCACAAAATCCCCGTTGAACAGCTGGGTGGGGAGGTTTGTTCAAGGAAATAACAAGGGAAATGAAAATCTTCCTTCCTTTCCTTTCCTTCTTTTCCTCGTTCCCTTCCCTCCCTTATATTTCCTTCACTCCCTCTTCCTCCTTTTCCTTCCCCTTCCTTCCTTCCCTTCTCCCCTTCCTTCCTTTCCTTCCTTTCTTCCTTCCCTTCTCCCCTTCCTTCCTTTCCTCCTTTCCTTCCTTCCCTTTTCCCCTTCCTTCCTTTTTTCCTTTCCTTCCTTCCCTCCTTTCCTTCCTTTTTTCCTTTCCTTCCTTCCTTTCCTCCTTTCCTTCCTTCCCTTTTCCCTTTCTTTCCTTCCTTTCCTCTTTTCCTTCCTTCCCTTCTCCCTTTCCTTCCTTCCTTCCTTCCTTCCTTCCTTCCTTCCTTCCTTCCTTCCTTCCTTCCTTTCCTCCTTCCCTTCCCTTTCCCAGAAGCTCCACAGCCACCTTTCTCTCCAAGAACCCGCAGGTCCCCAGACTCTCCAGCCACCCCAACGAGCCCCACTCCCCCCCCAAAAAAAGATACGTATGGATTATCTTCGGAGGGCAGCCCGTTCAGCTCAAATATATTCAGGAGGTCATAGTATTGTCCGTGGGTGTCTCCACAGATGGTAATTTTATCCGTCTGGATGAAAGGAGAAGGAAGAAGACAGGGAGTCACCAGAGGTCATAAAGATGAGTCAGATAAGAGCCTGTTTTGTTTAGTTTTTAATCACTGGGATAATTTTTTTTCGCCTCTTCTGGTTTGACTTAAAGAGACTTGGCAACCTGGGGGGAAAAAACCTCTCCTGCTTCCAGGAAGACATCAAAGGCTCTGCTCTGCTTCATCGGGCAAAAATGACCCCAATTGCAGGCAGATAAGACAGCCAGGGAATTGGGAGAAGCCCAGGGGAGGCTCACCTGTATCACCTGAGCCAGGCCCAGCAGGTGCACCTGTGTGTGGCGGTGACACAAATCCACCTGTCTTAATTACAGGGTCCCGTCACCAGCCCTCTCCCCCAGCTCCAAAGGTTATGGAGTTCCTTGGAGGGGGGGCGGGTGGGGGGAGAGGATTATTTTTGGTTAGCGCTGGGAAAGAGAAGACCCCTGGTGGGAGGGGCCCGCGGGACAGGTACGCAACTTCAAAGGAAGCAGGTAGAATTGGGAGGTACCAGCGGAGATAACTGGTGGGATAACGGGAGGTGCCATCAAGGAGCAAGTTGGTGGAAGGTCAAAAATCATTTAAGAGGGATTGAAGAATGAAGCATTCTCCCTGACTTGGAGATTAGAAGATGGGTGGACTTCAACTCCCAGAATTCCCCAGTGAAGTTGGAGTCCACCCATCTTCAGTTTCAATAGCATACTGGCTGGGGAATTCTGGGGGTTGAAGTCCATATTTCTTAAGGTTTATTAGCATGGAGGCCAGGGAATTCTGGGAAC